GAGGGGGTCCACCATGATTTCTCCATATAATTTTGTTCATAGGCTGGAGTGAGTTATTCCGCCTGCACCTTTCTGTACAAATACTAATTCAATTTTAAGTCTTAAGTCACTTTTTTAATATATATGATCTTCTCTTCCCACTACCTGCCATTTCTACTGCTCTCCCACTCTCCCTTTGCTGGTAGTAGCCACGTGCCCCTGTTTCCCCCACCCTTGTATATGGGGAGGCAGGGGTTGGAGCAGTTACCCTCTTTTCCTCTTGCTGATTAGCTGACTCAGCAAGAGCATCCATATCCTTACTGTTTGGAGTATGCTTGGTTCTGGGCCATGGGGCAGGCCCTAGGGACTAGGGAAGGGAGAGACAGCTCTTCCCTTAGCTGGCTGGCTGGCTGGCATCAGGCTGCAGTCCCCCCTCACCCCTGACTCACAGCTGGGAGAGAAACCACAGCATTATTGTGACCACCACAAACCCATTGCCCACAGCCCACCCCACTCCCCTCATCCTTGGTCACCCTGACCTCTGGCTCTGAGCCCTGTTCTGACCAAATCACGATGATGAGTATTTGGGGGTGGGTGGGTAAGGGGGGAAGTGGGAGGGAATGGAACCAACTTTTTCTGTATTTTGTATTGTATGTTTTCTTCAACATGTAACCAATCAGTATCTTGTCAATATAGTCAGCCGATGGATCGACCTCCTGCTTGTCTTGTCTTTCTCTGGCAGAATTTATCAGACTGTATCCTCTCTAGCTTACTAGAATTTAAAATGGACCACTAAATCTTGTTAAACAAAAGCTGCCCCCCCAACCCCATGTGAGGGGATAGTGGTCTTGGTAACCAAAAAAAGAGGCCCTTACTGTTACCGGTGCTAATGGCATGGGAGTGGAGTAAGAGTGACCTGCAACCAAATCTCACTGTTTGAAGTTGAGGGTCCTGTGTTTTCCTCTCCCCTACGACCTCCAGGATAAATTGGGGTGATGTGCAGTCTGAATTTGAAAATAGTTGGTCTCAAAATCAAAACCACACACACATAAAAGAAAAACAAAGTAATTGGTCTCTGAAACACCAGAAGCAAGTTCTTTGGGGTTTTTGGTTAATCTGTATCAGGACTGTGAGGGACTGGGTCCTCTCACCCTCTTCCCTGAAGAACACCAATGACCTCTGGAACTTTGGACTGCTCATAAGGCCGAGATAGCAACCTAACACCAGGTCCAAGCCATCTGTTCCTTGGACTCTTGTGGGCCCTCTGCTGGCTCTGGAACTAGATGACTCTTGGGCCCTCCCAGCTCTCTGCTGCTCCCTGCTGGCGCTGCTGCTCTCTGCCGCTAAGGGTTAGGGCTATTGGTCCAAGCTGAGCTGAGCAGGACCACATTGCCCTCCCCTTGTCCCCTACCTTCTCCCAGGACCACAGAGGCCTGATTCTTCGTGGACCACCACTTTAAGGTGTCTTTCTGGTCTCCCTCACCTTCATTACACCTCCACTTCTGACTCAACCCCAAGAAAAGACCACGGACTCTAAGGCTGCTGCTCACTATGGTGGTGGTTTACTGGGTCAGACTAGGTTGGAACCCTTCTTAGAACCGCGATCCTTGAGTCTTGAGGAGTGTCCTGCTGGGGCTTCAGGGGAAGGCAGCTCCGCACACTGGCCTCGGACACACAGCTGGCCCGAGGGGGTTAGGCAGCAGGTCATGGCGGCAGGATCCAGGTCCGGCGGTAGTAACATTTGGCGGTGCACCCTCTGCGCCACGCGGTAGCTGCCCCCATCCGGGCTGTAGCTCTCCGCTTGCCGCTGGCCCGTCACCATCAGGGACTGGCCGTCCACTTGCACCACCAGCTCCTCCGGAGTGAAGCCTTGGGCATCCATCTTCATCTGGAAACCATTCTCCGCGTGGACATTGTCCCGCACAGCTGTCACATCATCCTTGGGCAGCTGTATTGGCAGTGTGACCAACTGGTTTTGTTGTGCGAGGGCTGCGCTGGTACTCCGGGACGCCACCTGGTACCCTTTGGGGAGACCACTGCCGACCCGCTGCATCCGAGTGAGCAACTGCTGTCCGAGGGCACGAGGCTGAGTACAGCGCTCTGCGCTCGCGCAGGGTGGGGACAAGAGAGAGGAGGGTCCTCCTGGCCACGCCCAGCTCCACTCCTGCTCAGCAGCTCTGCTCTGTTCAGCAGGGCTCCCTTCACTTCGACATTCAGAGTTCGGGGTCAGCTATGCACGTCCTACCTGCGCGGATCAGGTTGTCATTTGCCCTGGCAAGCCTGCTGCTGCTTTTATCCTGGATCCTGCCCTGTTCTTGGGCCCCTCCCCACCTCAGTCAGAGGGCCCAACTGAATATGATAAAGGAGGCCAGAGCTGTTACCAACGCAGAGAGATGACATTGAGCAATGGGACTCTTGCCCTTCCAAGAATTGGGCCTGGGGGCAAGAATTGTCCCCTGGACAGAGCCATTGGAGTGTGAACACAGGGTAATCGATTTTCAGAATGTCCTGCCTTTCTCTGACAGGGCACAATCCTGTGACACACTGGGGACAGGGAGGTGGACACTCTTTCTGGCTTCTTTCATTCATCCATCCTGGGCCTAACTGCTGCAGGCTCAGGCTGGGCTCAGGGACCACAAAGATTAAGATGCAGGCCCAGCCCTCAAGGTTCCCAAGGTATTGGGGAGAGCCATTCCCATACACAGGGAAAGGCTCCCACCCTCCTCTGCCTCTACTTTCCCCTGACCTTGGTAGCCTTGTTGTGACCACGGCCATGCCTCTGGTGCTCAGTACTTTTATAATAAACCCTTTTTGTGGAAGTATAACGGACATATAGAAAGGTGTACAGAGGGGTACAGTTGAATTAATCCCAAAGAACACACCTGTGTAACCACAAGTCAAGAAATAGAACTGTTGCTGCTTAATCTCCACAGCTGCAATTTTGTCTCTGGAGACATGTGGGACAGGGACAGGGACAGGGACAGGGTAGGAGCGGGAAGGAGATGCCACGAAGCCAACTCAACCCCAGGCCCCAGGCCTGCACTTCCACCCCCGGGGGCTTGGGAGGAGGGCAGTACCCACATGTTCCCCAACCAGAAGCCTGTTTTCTAGGCTGTTTCTCCTTATCTCCAACAGGACAGCAATCTTGACTATCCCGGAATCCCTCAAGAGAGATTAAAAGTGAGGAGGAATCAATCTGGGGTGCTGGCTTGGGCCTCATTTAGCTGTCTGGGACCAAGAGCCAGGGTAGAAAAGTCTGGAAGGTAGAAGCAAAGGCAGCAGCGGTGGGAGACTACAACTCCCATCATGCTCCGGTAAGCGACGCCTGCGCACTGAGCGCCCGTTGCCCATGCGGCCCTAGGGCTGGGAGCGCCGCGCCGCGCTCCGCTGCGGGGGAGGCCATGGCGGAACCTTCCCAGTCCTCGACCCCGGCCCTGGCCGCGCAGCCCCGTCCCCTTCAGTCCCCAGCCCCTGCCCCAACTCCGACTCCTACCCCCAGCCCGGCTTCGGC